ACTTTTTTCCTAACTGAACTTTATTGAGTGATCCAATGCTCTTCTTCCTCTTAAATCCATGGCTCTCTCTCTCTCTCTTTTTTTTTTTTTTTTTTTTTTTTTTTTTTTTTTTTTTTTTGATCCATTTTGTTTCTGAAGCTTCCCACTGAGGATTTTCAATGTTTTGATGTTTTTCACGCTTCCAGCATCATTTCAGGTTGGGTTTTCTTCATTTCACACATCTCTTTGTTTTTTACCTTCTTAGGATTGTAGTACTTTTTTAAAAATTCTTTGTGTGGTTGTTCTTCCCGGTCATTCTCATTGCAACATGTCACAATGGGATCTGTGTTTTTCTGGCAGTGACAAATTCTTTTGTTTTTATTTGTGTGTGTGTGTGTGTGTGTGTGTGTGTGTGTGTGTGTGTGTGAGTACATGTGTATGTTGTTTTTATTTCTGCATTGGGATTTGTGCATCTAGAATTAGCTTATGGTTGAATTTTCCTTTATTTTGTTCCAATCATCTTTCTTCTTGCAGCACAATTGTTTGCAATATTCAGGAGAGCGCTAACTCGGGGTTCAGATGTGGGTCTCCTCTGTTTATCTTGTATGTGGGAATATGGCCTCTCTCCCAGGTCTTGTTTCTCTGTCACCACCTGGTGCCTTTATCATTTGGCCAAGGAGCCTGTAACAAGTTTCTCTTGACAGTGTGGACTGGCCCAAGCTCTCAAAGCCAGATAGGGCAATTGAAGGGTCCCGGTTGAGCAGCTGTTAGAGCTCCAGGGCTCTGAGCTATGTGTGGTAGCTAGTAAGTTCTTGGTAGCAAGCAGGCTGGGATTATTCATAATAGAATTTGAGCCATTAAGGAATATGAGTATCAGTCAGAAGTGGTGGCACATGCTTTTAATCCCAGCGTTCAAGAAACAGAAGCAGATAGCAGGATCTCTATGAGTTTGAAGCCAGCCTGGTGTGCATAGCAAGTTTCAGACCAGCCAACACTACACAGTGAGACCCTGTCTCAAAAGAAGGAGGAGGAAAAGGAGGAAGATGAGGGAGAGGGGAAAGGCAGAGGAGGAGGAGAAAGGGGTGAGAAAGAGCAGTTACCTATCTGGATCTATAGAACATTTTGCTAACAAGGACCTTCTACCAATATTAATTCTGCTGAACTAATTGTTTCCTTTTAATGTATTCTTACATTTTATTTTCCAGTTCTTTATAGCTTCATTGCATAGGCCTTTAGCATCTCTGGCTAAACTGTGTGTTTGAGGGGATGTTTGTTCTGGGCTCTTACGTATATTAGTTGAACTTGCTGTCTTTCCTGAGGTTTCTTAGTCTGTGCTGAACAGAAAAGATGTCCACCAGAGATGCTTTCCAGGGCAGTAGTTTTTTATCTTTGTGTATCAGGGGCCTCTGCTGGCCACACTTGGCCTTTCATCCTGTGGGTTGGGCCGGTTCTCTCACTCTCCCAGACTTCCCAGGTTGTACCCAGAGGTGTGACTGTTTTAGCTAAGTCTCTCAAGTGTACTGGCTGTGTGGGAAACAGCCACACCACTGAGATCAACAGCACACCTACCACATAATAATCGCCTGCAGAAGGGCTTCATCTCAGGGTGTCATGTACCCACCCCCAGCTCAGAGCTCTCAGACTTTGCCGAAGTAACTGACAGGTTGCTGCAGAATTTTAACCACACACTGACCTCAGGCTCAGAGCTATCAAGCTGCAGGGTAATCAAGGTCTTTTGGATTTTATTTCTCTGAACCCTCTAATTTTCTTAAATATTGTCATTATTTATAATAAAAGTTTTAAAGCCTGGAGCAAATTATTTTCACATTCTTCTTTTCCACAATCTTTATCCGTTCTCAGCTATCAGTTAGAATCTTGGGTAACCACTGACACAGGTCCTGGATTTTCCTTCAAACCGCCATACAGATGTTTGTTAAAGGCAGTTCCCATTAACCTGACCTTTGGTAGGCCCTGCTTTTAGATGGAATCTGTGCTTACAAAGCTGTCTACACCTCGGTGTTATGTTAGAAAGTGAGCATTCTGTGCTTAGACAAGTCACACTTCTTACCTTTCAATTTCCTGCCCCTAAGAATTGTCCAAGCATTCTTAAATGGCTCAAAAGTGTAAGTCACCATTTCTAGATAAAATGAAAATTCAGTTTTTAGTTATTGTGGAATTTGACAATTCTGTCAAAGGTAAAGCCAACCCTCTTGGTTTAAATAAAAAACAATCTAAGGCTGCAAAGATAACTGGTGAAAATGGAGAATATACTCCAAAAAAGAGCATACTAGCTTAAAAAAAAAAGTCTCAGTCTCAAAAAAAAAAAAAAAGAAAGAAAGAAAGAAAGGGAAGGGAAGGGAAGGAAAAGAAAGAAAAGGAAAGAAGGAAAGGAAAAAAAGCAAAGTAAATAAGCAATTCTCCAGCAGTCCCTGTTTAGAATAAATATAATATTCACATAGCCACTATACTCCATGAAGAAAATATATTTTTATTGAGTTTTTATTCAGACATGTTTCAACTTTTATTAATAAAATTCAATAAATTTGATTCCTTAATCATAAAAACCTTCTGTATACATTGTTTACATGTTGCCAAAATTTCCACTCACAACATCACAAAAACTTCACTGACTCTAAGAATAGAACCATCACACAGATGGGAGGAGCTAATTGGCATACATCCAAAGAGTGAATTATAGATATGCATAATTTATTTGGCACTGTTCTTAATATTGTAGCATTTTCTTGTCAGAAACAGGCACTCAGGACTCAGTCACAATGCATCAGAATTTGCTATTCACATTTTAATCTGCTTTTCATCGTCAAGCAGTAACCAGTTTGAAGAAACAATCCACAACCCGGCTTCAGAATAGAGTTCAAACCCTCCACCTTCTTTAAGTAGGTTCATTATGGTGATTTTTTTTTCAGTTGTGGAGAATGTCAAGAAGAAACAACCTAAATAAAATACCCTTTAATGCACTCGAAGACATGTGGCTCCTCAGAAGCTCAAAGGGGGTGTAAGCTTGTGATTATCCTGACAAGAATTACAGAATAAAGAGTACACTTCAAGTTGTCCAGATTGCATTAGTAATCAAGTGAGAAGGTTCTAGAATGTTTACATTTAAATATAAACCCTAGAATTCATGCAATTCTTCCTATGACTACAACAGACTTAGGATTTTGGTTCTATTCCAGCAGGCAACTTAACTTTGTTTTAACAATTTGTTTGTTTTAGTTTGTTTTTTGTTTCCTTTTGTTGTTGGGTTTTTGTTTGTTGGTTTGTTTGAGACAGGGGTTCTCTGTATAGTCCTGGCTATCCTGAAACTCACTATGTAGACCAGGCTGGCCTGAAACTAACAGAGATCCACCTGCCTCTGCCTCCTGAATGCTGGGATTAAAGGCATGTCCACCATGCCAGGCTAACAAATCATAAATCCCTTTGCTTCAATTAGTTAAGTTTAACTCACTAAAGCCATGCAAACCCCAGAAAGTCTATTAAGAACATGCATATCATGTTAATGAAAAGCATTACATTTTTTTAAAGTTAAACCCCCCCCCAGGAGAATTAAAAACCAATGGAACATGGATCGCTGCACTGTACACCAGAAATGGGGGATTCCCTAGTAATTTCACATATGCTAAAGCTTCACACAAAGTTTTGCCAATAATTAAGACCTTCTAAAAAATAATTTGCACAAAAAACCTGAAGTGCAAAGTAATATTACTGGACCAAAGTTCATTTGAATAATTTTAATGTAAGAATATTTTTTACATCATAAATGGGGTTTGTAATCCCAAGCAGAAACATATTCTTTCCCTCGGAGTCTGAAAAGCTATTCTAGACCATATTTCCAAATCCAGTTTTCTTTGTTGTTTTGCAGATTCTGGAGGCCTGGTAGCTAAATGGCTCCACACTAAATGTACCTGACTCTTGCTGGTAAGAACTTTCTGAAAACTGTCCATCACATAAAGAGAATGGTTTCCATGGAAATGTAAGCAGTATGGGAAAAACATTAAATCCCTGTCATTGAGTTATTCTTAAAATAATAGAGCCAGTGCTGTTTTCTGACACAAGAGAACATAAATGATCAAATTATTTTTATAGACTTTGATGACACAGGCCCCCATCCTATTTAATTGTCTATGCAAAGTTGTTATTGAGATTTACTGGAGGAAAGAAATCCCAGGTGTTACTTGGAAGAGAAACAGGCTCCTTTGGAGGAATGAGCTACCTCGGTAGCTTCTCTCAAATGTTCATTTTAAATAAAAATGTTTTTGGGCACTATGTAACATTATACTCTTCATACCAGCAAAGGCATTAAAACTGCCTTTTTAGGACATTTCCCACCTTAAGACTATTATTTATTTTGTTTTTGACTGCCCAACTCATCATCTAAAATTTGTATCTTCTGCACTTCAATATGGAACGATTTCTTTTTCAAATAATCTTTACATCCCAGAACACAGACAGACTACCAAAGCAGGGCTTGAAAAGTCACATTGCTGACTAGAAAAAAATGATGGAAATGGCCAGAAATCTGAGGAGAGATGTTCTGAATGTAAGCAAGCTTTCAACGTGTGAGTGCAGGGTCCCACTCCTCCAAATCGCCCTCAAAATGAGTATACTCCTGTCTAGTCAGCCAATATATTATTCTTAAAAACTGAAGCTTGGTCACTAGGATAAGTTGTACAAAATTTACCCTCACCCCACTCCAAATAACCAGTTCTAATCAATCCCTGAACTTCACAAAACCAGGAAAGTTGTACGACCTGAGGCCTTTAAATCTGAAGGCTCACATCCTGTAGTACTCCATTCCTTACTGCCTCCCTATTTCTTCCCAAACACACACACACACACACACACACACACACACACACACACACTCAAGTAAGACACTTTTTGTGTCTGCTGATAAATTATGAGGAATATGAACTAGATGTGCATAGGGTTTTACAGGTACTTTGTAAACATTAGAGTCACTCGGGTCCTTTGTTTCAAAAGTCTGAATCGAATCACACAGTCTACTTTCCCAGACGCGGTTCACTAGCTGCATACAGACAAAGGGCGGAGAAGAAGTCCTCATAACTGAGGTTCCGGTGAGAAGGCAAGGAGATGATCTCAGTCAGTCTGATTTGCCAGGGGAGAAAGCCTAACGTGCTGTCCACAAAGCCAAACTTCAGCACTAAATCTGGATCCGGGAAGCCCTGGGGTCGAAGCAAGCCGTCAAACATGTCCACGTTGAGATCCGCAGCCATCCGTTGCCGCTGTGCCACCAGCAGGCAGAAGTCCTGGGCAGCTCGCACAATACCTGCTTTTCCGTCTTCTGGGGACAGCACCTGCACTGTGGACTGGCAATTTAAAACTAAACCGTCTTTGTGATTACTCTCTGCCAGCTCTGCTGAGTATCTCGAACAATCTAAACCGAAAAGTTCCTGTCGTCGTTTTAAAATTTCCTCCATCAGTGTGGAATTATTTCTCTTGAAAATACCTTGGTGGTCGTAGACGCTAACGTAGGAGATCCCCACGGCCATGCACCAGACCACGATGCTCGCCACGTCGGAGAAGCTATGCTCCAGCTCGGTAATCAGCAGACCCAGGTGCACTGGCAGCTTATTCAGGGTCCAGCGGTCCACACGCCAGCGCAGCCCGCGATGCATGGCAGGCAGCGCGGCGTTCCCGTGCGGGTACCGGTGCGAGTGCGGGTACAGGCGCGGCTGCAGACTGCAACTAGGGTTCCCACGGTTCGCCAGAGGCTTGGGCAGCCACCAGACCCAGCTCCAGGCTCCCGAGCGCACGCGCAGCGCCGAGATGAGCACACGGTGCGGGCAGAGCAGTGCATGCAGTGCCCGCCACAACAGCGCGCTCAGCACCCGCTGTACCAGCGCCTGCAGCCCCGCCATCGTCCTGGGAGCCGGATGCCGCCTCCCAGCTCACAGCTGTGACCTGCTCCCGCGGCCCCACCCCCACTGCTGTGTGACTGCTTGATGATAGCCATCCAGACACAAGTAAGGTGGGATCTGGAGAGTTTTTAATAATTTTTAAAAGATTATTATTATGATGATGATGATGATGTTAATGGAGAATGTGTTGTGCTTGCTGAAGTTTCTATGCACCTTTTAGGTGCAGGAGCCGGTGGAAACCAGAAGAGGGAGCCCGGCCCTACAGAATCAGAATTACAGTAGGGAGCTGCACAGAAGCTGAGTCAAACCAGAGCCCTCTGCAAGAGAAGTGCAAGAGAGGATGAACCTGTAGCTTTAATTTTCCTGACAAATAAAAAGACTGAACACTTCAGAATTTTATTAGTCATTTGAATTTCTTTTAGATGACTAGATATTTAATTCATTTGCTCACATATATCTATTGGGTGATTTTAGAGTTGGAGAGTTTAATTAAGTCATAGGGTTATGTCACTGTTCAGCCTCCTAGGACAATGTCACTCCTCCATCAGAATAGATTTCAATCTGACCTTTAGCTGTTTCCTCTCCCCGGTGTTCACAAACTCCTTTCACTCCTCTCTGCTTTTCCAAATTCCTGTATGCCAGGTCTCAAGCCCAAGGGCAGATGGTCCCAGACACTTTATAGCAAGCTTCCTACCTTCAAATGTCATTGAGACATCTCTATCGAGTACTAGGGCATGGGTGTGGTGTGTTCCTAGGGATGGCCTCTCAGTCAGTGTTGTCCAACGTCGTCATTATTATTTAACCAAGACAATGATCTGACCTTTGCCTGTTTTAGCCCTAGGTTCCAAGTGAATCGATAGTTGAAATAATTTGGCTGGAAATAGCTTGGACGACATGAATGGTATGATTTTGTGCCGGCTCAGTGGTCTTTCATGGAAGTTTAACAGCTCTACTGGCTGACTCTAAAACTAGTAAGCCCTTAATGCATTTTCCTTTTTAGTCTGGAGTTCTCATTTAGAGTTCTAACGAGGAAGGGTTCTATGAAAACTTGTGGGTAAATTGTCTTTTCCAGTTCTAAATGTCTAATCTATAAAACATTCAGTCACTGATTCTCAGATGTAGTTAAATATAGAAGATACCTGTATTAACATATTAGTTTTGATTGTTGTGGCAAAATCCCCAAGAAATGCAACTTAAAGGAGGAATCTTTATTTTGGTTCACACTGAAGATCTTTCAGTCTATAGTCCTGTGGATCCTTGCTTCTGGAATAGGACCAGGCAGAATACCAGGGCAGGGAGCATGTAACAAAGCAAAGCCGCCAACCTTGTAAAATGGAAATAAATTTGTGAGAAGGAAGTTGGTGGTAGGACCTAGTCCTTGGCACATGCTCAGTCAGAACTAGCTCCCTTCAACTGGGGCCCATCTTCAAAGTTTTCCTCACTTCCCCAAAGCCCAGCAATGCAGGAGCATTTGTTGGAATGATGAAGTCAGAGTCCTCTGCATCTAATTCCACCTCTAAAACTGTTGTGTTGGAGACCAAGTTTTCAACAGATGGGCCTTTGGGGAACATGTCAGATCTGAACCATAAGAATATGTAAGCATGATTTCCAAGGACAAAGAAACTAGAGACAACAATTTAGACATTAGTGACTGTCACTAAACACTATGAAAGACATGAGTGACATAAATAAGGCCAGAAAGATGGTTCAGTAGATAAAGGTACTTGTGCCAAACCGGACGATTTGGGTTCCATCCATTAGAGTGAGAGAAGAGAGACAGGCCTGGAGAGGTAGCTTAGTGAGTAAGGGATTTTTCTGTCTTTCCCAGGACCTCAGCTCCATCAGATGATTTGCAACTGCCTATAACTGCAACTCCAGGAGAGCCCCCCCACACACACAATAAAAATAGATCTTAAAAACATACAGGAAAGAGCCTGTATGTTCTAAACATATGTTTAAAACATACAGAACAAGCTGTTCTGACCTCCCCACATGTACCATGGTGCTCGGGCACACACACAAATAATTAATGTGACAGTAATATAGATATGGAGAAATATCTTCCTTACTATCTAATTCTTTAAGGAAATAATGTGCTTATCACCATATGACTTACATCTCAAGGAACTTAAACTTCAGATGTCATCTCCCCAAGTTACTCCAAAGTCCAACTCTTCTGGTTCTTTCTAACATAAATTACAGATGGGTAAGGGGTGACATCTGGGTGAAGCTCCATGTTTGGCAGTGTACAATGCATGTGCCATTTGTGAGTGATAAACTCTGTTTAACAGAAATAAGTATACAAGTAACTTAGAAATCTTAGGAACTAGGCAAAGAAGGCAGCTTCCTCAATGCAATTTTAAAACAAATGAATGAACGAACAAACGATAGCAACAAACAAAAACTACAGCTAACACGTGTAATGGTGAAATACTGTATTGCCACAAGAATCAAAAAGGCAAAAGGGCATCTCTCCAGAGATGGTGCAGAGGTTAGGAGCACTGGCTGCTCTTCCAGAGGACTAGAGTTTTATTCCCAGCACCCACATGGTGACTTACAACTATCTGAAACTTGAATTCTAGGGTATCTGACACCCTCTCCTGGCCTCCTTGGGTACTGACACACATAGTGCATAGACATACTTGCAGGCAAAAAAATCTCATATACACAAATACTAAAAAAAGAAAAAAAAATGAAGAAGAAAATGCCTGGTCTCAAAACTCTTGCTCAGTGTCCTGGGGGTGTGTGTGTGTGTTACTCGTCAGTGTGATGAGAAGCCAAAGGCCACCAATTAAATACAAAGGAAAACTTCTTGTCTAAGGTGTGTGATTAACCACTTAGACAATCTCAAGGCATCTATTAAAAACAACTATAAGAATTAAGAATGAGCTCATGCCTGATGGTGGCGGCACACAACTTTCATCCCAGCATTCAGGGGGCAGATCTCCAAGTTTGAGGCTGGCCTGGTCTACAAAGTGAGGTCCAGGAAGTCAGGCTACCAAGAGAGTCCCTGTTTCAAACAAAACAAAACAAAAAATAAATAAATAAAAAATGAGTTCAGCAAGGTTACCAGATAATAGGTCAATGTGCAAAATTCAACTTCGTTTCTAGAAAACATCCATTAATTGTAAGTAGTACTAGCTGATGTAACATGGACAGTGATGTCATAAGACTTACAAGGCTCTGGAGGCTTAGGAAATAATGAGACTCCCAGCTTGCTCGGGGTTACATAGGCAGTAAACATTTCAGGAGACGCTTCGGTGGAGCTCCCTCCAGATTTTGCAGGAAGCTATAGGAATACAAATTTCATGAAGTCACGGAGCATCTTGGAATGGTCTTCTCCAAGATGCTCTTGCCTGAGATTCTGTCATCATCATGTTCCCCATCCCTGCTCACGCTGCCCTGTTAGTAACTCCAATAAAGTCATTGTTTTTGTCAAGATAAACTTGGGTCCAGTCATTTCTTGGTTGTGTCTTTGGCGCTTTCTCTGGGACAAAGACACCTATTCGCTTATCACTAGAAAATGTCCCACAGCCCAGTTAGAGCCTGAACAGGAACAGACAAAAAGCAAAGATGGTGTTGTGTCCCAGATGTGGGTATTCATGTGGATCCGTGGAACGCAGTGCAGAGGCACCTCAAAGATGAATGTTTAACATTTTCCAGCTGCAGGGTGGATTCGTCTCTATGGACTGGACCACTTTTGCTGAGCCAACAGTCCTTTTATTCTTCACTTAGAGCCTGGACGTGGACAGACATGGCCCCTGAAATGACTGAGAAGGCACCTAACTAAGGCTGATCTGTTAGAGGTCATGATTGGTTACTCACGTGGCAGTGGTATGAAGTGGTGTGATCTCTGTTGTGAGTACTAAGACCTTTAACTGATGTCAAGTCTTCTGTGAAGCAGGGTAGCACAAAGACAAACATATTCCTGCTCACATGGTGGTGCAGAGAAAGGAAAGCCTGATTTCCTCCCTGTCCCATCTTTTGTTTTATCCACTCAATGAAGCAGAGAATGCACTCTCTCTCTCTCTCTCTCTATCTATCTATCTATCTATCTATCTATATATATATATACACATATATATACATACACATATATACATATATATATATTTGTCATGCTTTCTTAATAAATGGAGCCCACCCACCACACAAATACGTAGCCGTGAAGTCTATGATTCAGTATGCACACAGGGGTTTTGATAATGGCCCAGTATGGGAAACTATGATAATTGGAAATTACCAGTCTGCATCTAAGCTATTTGAATTAAAGAAGGCTTTTTTTAAACAGAAATGAGAAAGCCCCTCACAGCGTGACCAGCAAGGTCATGGGGCATAGAGATCAGTCTAAGGACATAGATGTACAGAAACTGTGTAATGTGGCTGCTTTCCCTTCCTTAAGACTAAAGCTGTGTGATATGACCTAATGTGAGAGACTGCTCCATACAAGCCTGTGCTTAGTTAGTGCTGGCTGTGGTCCCCTGGAAGGACGGACATTGCTGAGAAAGCTAGACATGAGAGAGGCAGTGTTTGATTTTCAGTTTACCTAACCTGGTAGAGCGAGAGACACAAGTCCACTCACAGGGACTTTGGGAGTGGTATAGGACTTTATTTTGCTGAGGGCCATGATGAGGCTCTGGAACACTAGAATGGGTTAGACCAGCATGTAAATTGGGTTTTAGGTGCTAAAGAATTAAAATGAGATGGTGGCAGGAGAGCAGATGATACAACGTGTCTGAGTTTCAAAAGCAAATGAGACAAGATTTGTTTCAGGTCAGAGTTCCCAGGGAATTTTTTTTTTTTTTTTTTTGGCAGAAAACCAAAAACCTCTGAAAGGCTTTAAAGCCTGGACACCAGTTTACCAAGGAGATGAAAGAGGGAGTAAATGACAGAACAGTTCAATTTAAAAAAAAAAATAAGCTTGTCCTAGAGGTGAACAGTTATCTCCCATCTCTGTGGGAGATACACTATGTAAAATTTCCTCTGCCAAAAATGTATAC